GCCTTGGAAATTTGATTTGCTGAGTCCTCGAGGCCATATTTTAGTATCTATGAAAAGTTTATGATTCTATTACTTGGTCCTGCAAGGGTATTTACAAGGTATTTTTTTACTGCAAGGTATTTKTTATGCATAGGGTATAGCCACCATGTCCCTARMTCTGCGGTCCCTGAAACAGAAYGGTTTGGATAAAGCTATTATAACATGTTGATGCATAATGTATTTCAATCTGAAGTAACGGAGACCATGTTGAATGGAAGAGTCGCAAAACAATGCAAAAGAAGTCATATTAAATAAGATTTTAGAAGCAAGTAATCACAAAGTAGAAAAGGAATTAGCAAAAAATGTCTCTTTTAAAGACATATTTGTGAACATTATGATTGGAAGCATGGCTTKTTTTCCTCAATTAATTTCCAAAAAATCAAGCTTTTTGATGTTATAGTAAATGTGATCAACTTTGAGGTGTCCATGAAATCTATGAAAAGTAAATAGTCCAAATTAATGTTTGAAATTTATTCTAGTTCAACATGTTAAGCCTGAATGCATTGAAGACTATATCTCATTAGTGTAAGTATATTATGTATGGATGTGTTATAAAAAAGTGGAAATAGGAARAGTGTCTGCAATGAAAACATTCATGCTTACTAGATAAGTGAATGTTTGTTGAATTTTGTTTTGTAGAGGTGAAAGTTTACCCCGCATCAGCAAAGATTCTCAGTTTCCAGGACAGCTTGTAGGAAGCTGGACAACAATGTTTGGAAGACTTGATCAAGCCAGTATGAGAATCATGTRTTTTGCTCTATTGTTTTTCTTTTTTTCCTTTCTGTTTGTTTTAGTTTATTACAGCATATTACATTTTGCAATGTAAAATATTGTTATTGCTTGATTAGATACATTTAGAAAGTAATGTTAATTATAGAGCGATTTCCCAGAACGCTTAATTTTTATGTGATAAGAAAAATGGCATGCCAATGAGTAGAATGACAACGAAGTAAGTTTCACAGACTGTAAAAAGGTGGGAAAGCCAGTTGTCATTTGTTACATTGAAAACTGATTCATAAGGTACAGGATGAAAAGTTGAAAAAAAAATCCAAATATCCAAAACTCCCTTGAAACTGATTTATGAATTAAGCACATTTACAACTTTCAAAAATGTCTCCTTATTGTTAGCCTGTGTACATCCGTTTCTCACCGCTCCAAAAAAAATCGGGGAGAGAAAGACGTTCTCTCCCCGATGTTTTTGGAGGGGTGAGAAACGGATGTACACAGGCTACTTATTGTCTCCTTATTGTTTTGGTTTTTTTGCAGTACATCTTTGGATGTTTACTGGTGGTTATTCTGCAGTTGTTGAAGCCAAGCAGTACATCAGGGAAAATCCAGTAAGCACTGGTTGTAATACAGTTAAACCCTGCACATAACAATATAAAATGTATGCTCATGTCAGATTGAAATTGTTAACCATTTTTACCTTGACAAGTTGTATATTCAGGTTGAAAACTTTATGGAAGGGATTTTCATGATTTCCAGAATTAAAAAACCTGTGCATGAACGGAATCTTGATAAAAAGCACACACAATATTTAAGATGYCCTTTTTTACCAAAATTAAAGGAAAGAACCTGATCATGAAATGCACTGAAGACCTTGTTGAGAAATGCAAAATCCTAAACATTTATGCAAATAAGTTAAARATGCATTAGAGCCTTTGAAATATGGTAGAATTTCCAAAGAAAGATGTGGGATTCTGCAAATGTCTTGAGGTTGAGATTRTTTTCCTGGCAAATGTGCTTTTCCTTTTACGTTTCTGTGCAAATAAACGGTATRTGAATGGTTTTTCATAGTCTTATTCACTCTAGTGCTTCACAGTATGAAATGTGGTAATAAGGACCTGTTCAGACTGACTTGGAAAAATATATGTTCTTATATCAGGGATTTACTGTCAGTATTTGATAATTGAATGAAAAGGAGCACGGAAAGGTACCAGTACTACCATATTCTAAGGAGAAACAACGTTTAAACTTGTATTCTCAGAATTTTTTATTCTTTGCTTCTTGAGTTTTCTCTTTCCCCATGAAGTCAATAACAATGTATCAGACATGCTATCAATAATTCTGAGTTTGACTTATAGGAATATCTTAAATTTGCAAGGGAGCGACGTCACATGATGTACAATCGAGAAAATCARTTGTTACACGAATTTAGCTTCTGGGGAGAACCAAGTCCTAGAACTGACCCACACATTTACGAATTAAGGACATATCATCTCAAGGTTGGTATAAAGGACAACATTACATGGTGTAAGTTCCATGAACTTTGAAATACACTTTATTTATCRTTCATGAGGTCAGTACTTTTTATTTTGAACTTTAAAGGAAAGCATTTTAGAWAAAAAGTTGAGATGAAGACTGGCTGAATAACAAATTYTATTGATATTGTACAYWTCTGGAAACTCAGTTTATTATTTTTTTTATTGTTTAGCCTGGCACATTAATTGAGTGGGGAAATAATTGGTAAGCATATTTTAGCTATTGAATGCACATGGTGGAAATACA